GTGTGTGTGTGTGTGTGTGTTTGAGTGTGTGTGTGTAAACTAGAGAAAGTGTTCAGGACAAAACACTTGTATGTGTATCAGTGGCACTGAAGTGTGAGCGTCATGTGTTTGGGTCTGTAGTCAGATCCAGCTAAAGGAAACACATCTGAGATTCAGATCAACAGACTGAATGTAGCTCAGCTATCAGCTGATGATGAACGAGAAACGTGTGTGTCTTTGGACTGCCGGTCATTTAGTTTGACTGTAGTCGTGACCTTCACTCACACAGTGAGTTTCGAGCTGTCAGCACTGAACGCTTCACAAACGCTCGTCTAGATCAGCTCAGATCTCTGTGTGTTTCCTTCATCTAAAGAGTCTGCTCAGTAAAGACTGTAAGGCATAGTTCACTAAAAGTAGAAAAAAAAACTTGCTTTCCTCAGTGGAACACAAAAGAAGATATTTTGAGAGATGTCTGTTTTTGTCCATATAATGAGAGTTAATGTGTCCAGTGATGTTTTGGTCCCAGTGTTTTTCAAAATATCTTTTTTTTCTCACAAGAAAGAAAGTCATACTGGCTTGGAGCCACATGAGGGTCAATAAATGATGACAGAATGATCATTTTTGGTGAACTGTTCCTTTAAGCCAATAATCCTCTTTCTGATCAGTGATTCAGATATTTCATTTTCTACTTCTGCTCTATTTCACACTGTTCATCATCCCTTACTGGCATTTACATTCGTTTCATCATTTTCACTAGAATGATATATGTGATTTTTAGTTTCTGCACCAGTAGCATGACCAGTTGGGAATGTGTTGAAACGGAGGCGGATGAATTCAGAGCAGCATATTAACATAAACTACAGCCAGATACCGAATGAGTCGTGCTCTACTGGTCAGTCAAACAGATGGTCCAGTCTAAACTCATGCGATCTGTGTGAGTCAGAAGTTGACGTCAGGTGTCTCAAATGAACAGCGACCAATGCTGTGAAAGTGTCACAGAGGCTCTGTTCAGATCTTTTGTGACTCCGATCATAACAGTGTGAGCAGCACAAGACACATGGGATCTGATTTGGATCTGAGGCTTGCAGTGTGAACGTATCCAGATTCACTCCTCAGGAATCAAGCGGCCGGTGACTGTGAGCAGATCCGCTCATGTTGGCTGCATTGGAGTCCTGTTCTCCTGAACTTTCTGGCCAACAGTTTTGCAGTAATGAACCTAATTCAGCTGAGCTGTTAAACGTCTCTCAGGTCAATATCACAACTAGACACTGATGAATCTGGTGTGCGCTAGCAAGCGAAGCACTGAACTAGAAGCGCCTCTAATGAGCCGCAGCAGGACGAGCGTTTGACCCGTGTGAAACTGTGGCTAAATGTGAAACTCATATCTGCTGTTGTCTAACACTGCTTTTCTAATGTTTCTCAGCGGGGCGTCTTGCATTCTGACATTTCATCTTCTCTCGCTCGCTGGCTTTGAACTGATCAGTTCTCCAATGAAAGATTCATGTGTCTGATTGTCAGATGTGTGACTATGAAGCATGGCACTAATCCAGTCTTTCTCTCTCTTTCTCTCCTCGGTGCGGTCCGGGAACAGAAGAGTATGCGGTGGAAGGTAAGCGGCTGATTAATAACTGTTAAAGATGCTGTGTGATGTTGAGGATTGGTGTCGGTGTCAGCGAGGCTGTTCTCAGATTGGACTGCGGTTTTGGCGACTTCTGGGGGCTTTGATTTGCTGCGAAGCGAGATTTACTCTTCCTCCTTTGTTTCTTTTCTTCTTATGAGTTGGTTTGATTTTTACCTTTCAGTGAGTTGAAATGGAGCAAATGCAGTCGAATGGCTCAGTGTTGTTGACCAAAAACTCAGTGCGGTTGTTTAGTGGCACAGCAGATCCAAACCCACTGTCGTGTGGAAGTCCAGCATGTAGACTGGTTCTCATGTGAGACGCTGAAGGTTAAACCCTCCCAATGGTGTCCCTCTGGCGTCTGACAGACCAAACTCCGCTCGCGTCCGTCGAGGGCCAGATGTTTTTACCCATAATTCCCCCGCAGGCTGGATTTGTCTGCGTAATTGATGGCGCTGTGCTTCTCTCAGGTGTGTGTTTGGGGATAAGGTGCAGGTATCTGGATGTTTTCCCTCTATCAGGATGCTGCTGATGGATTACCCCTCTCTACCCAACATGCCTCGGGAGGCACGTCGCTATGGCAACAGAGCAGATGCGTGTGTGTGTGTGTGTGTGTGTGTGTGTGAGCTGATGATGATGGCAGAACACGCTTCATTGGCAGGAGCCTCATGGATGTTATCCACATGTTTCCAGTGTTTTCAGCTTGATTTACACAAATCTGATAATAGCACAAGTTAGACATTTCCATTATTGTCTGAGCAGCGGAAGCTTCAGCACCATTTAATATCATTTTCAAGCATATCAATTTTCATATTACAATAATTTAAGCTTTTATCACAGTATTGAATTATGTTACAAAAACATTAAGCCTTTTCCTCTTAGTAACAATTTTAAAGGGCTCATCGGATGAACATTTTCCACAAGTTGGCATGATTTATTAGCATCTTCGTGAAATGTCTGTAACATATTTTGCTTAAAAACACTCAATGGCTGTGTAATTAACACCCTTTTTGCCTTGTCAAAAACAGCTCTGCTCACACCAGCCGGTTTTGGTGTATGTCTCTTTAAATGATAATGAGTTACTGCACCCCTTCCCCCTTCCGGGATCTCCACTAAAGATAAAATAAATCCAGTCCTCTCTTGTCTCCTCTGAGCCTGGGACTCTAAATAATGATTTGTGTTCGTCTGTGCAGCCAACCACAGAACATTTAGCATGTTTTCCACAAACTTTTGCCATGGCGTCAGAACAAGTACGCCGCTGTCGCTTGCGAAAACAACAATGGCGGCTGAGCGCCATGCGGTAATATTATAATAAGAACCCCTTCCTACGTCAGATCTGATCAGCTCATTTTCTCACATGCTTGCAGAGAAAGGCTTACAAAACCAAACTTACTGGGTTCTTCTTTTTCACGTTTCACGAGTTGGTAGATGCACCAGACACTCAATTATAGCACTTAAACACAGAAAAAGTCAGATTTTCATCCAATGAGCCCTTTAACAACTTTTTCCAAATAACAAAAAGAACATTTAAAAACAATAAAACAATACACAATCAAACTGTATGAATTAAACAAATGTTTCAAACCGATTAAAGTACAAAAGACCACAAGAGATTCATCACGAGTCTGTGCAGCTTCTGCAAAGAGGGAGACTAGAAACACTTTTGTTCAGGTCTGAAACTGGTTTTGCGTCTGTTCTGATTGAAGCGGATGACATTTGCTGCTGTGGTGTGGCTCAGTCAGTAAAGCAGAGAGGCCTTGATTTGAGAAGACTCGAGACTCTAGAGATCTCAGCGCTGACCTGGAAATGATCCACTGTCTCCAGCCTTCAAAAAAGAGTTTCATTACATTTGCATTTATGCAATTGGCAGATGTTTTTATCCAAAGTAACTTTACTAAATTAAAAAACAAAACTACAGAGAGTTTTATCTGCACATTTATGAAAATACATGAAGTGCATTATAATAATTCAGAGGCAGTGCAGATTTCTGATTCATTGTGGCTCAAGCAGATGCTTTGTTTGCTTCATCGAATCACTATTTTCCTGTTTAACACTGTAAAGATGCTTTGAAACAATCTGTTGTATAACGCACTTTAGAAATAAAGTTGACTTGACTTAAATCTGTACTATTTAGATTTTTTTTTTCACAGATACAATTCTTAAATTGATTTTTTTTTCTTTCTTATTTATTTATTATTAGTCCATATAATGAAGGTCAATGGGGTCCAATGTTGTTTGGTTCCCAACGTTCTTCAAAAACATCTTCTTTTATGAAAGTCATAGAGATTAACGTGAGGGCAAGTAAATGAGATAAAAAGATAATTTGTGGATGAGACGTGTTTTTTCCAGCTGTGGTGGCAGGACTGTTTCCCATGAACCACGCCCCAGAATCACATGCACTCAAACTCAGAATTCAATTCATTTTAACTAAAAAAGACAGGTAAACAGTAAGTAATGAAATAAGAACAAATAAATAAATGACAATAGCACACACAAAAGCAATAACAAGATGCAAATTAATTTAGGCTGCTGTCTCTTTAAGAGCTCATGCACGGATCTAATATACTGTTACAGTGTGTTTTGCTACTCAACGGTTTACATTCACTTACTAGCCTACATACCGACTATGCTTAATATAAACCGACTGTGTTTACGTGAATACTCAGACAGGCATGTTGACATAATTTTGTGTGTATTTGACCGTTTCTGTGCAATAAGGCACAAAACATAACACAATTCTGTCGTCGCGCACTGCTTCAGAGGCGGCAGCTTCTAATTTCTGGGTGTGCGCACACAGAAAACAGTCTATAAGAGAGCACGCGAGTACTGTATTGAGTTCTCTTTCACTCTTTTTGCACTTGAATGGTTTAAAGTCACTTCAATGTTTAAATTGGCAATACATTCTATCATCTTTCATCGCGTTACAAGCACAGAACCTGCAAGAATGAGTAGAATTATGCTCAATAAATACACACAATCCTGTGCCGAAATTCAGGTCCTGCTGTGTCCTCTGCTATAGATTACCAGACTGTGAATAATGTGAGTGATGTGAGGCACAATGTTTCTTTCAGATGTTTGTCGGGCAATCTTTTGTCCTGGTTTTGTCACAGGGATGTGGATGTGGAAATTGGCAGTGATAAATGTGAAGGGTAAGTAGTTAGATAACCTGCCGGTCATTATGAGAGAGTTAATGGACGCGTGGCTGAGGAGCCGCCGGTCGTTCCTGCACAGACAGCCGTGCTTGAGCCGGATGGCTAATTGTTGACCAACCTAGATTTCGGCTAGGTCTTGGATGCCCTATTTCCAGGGTTGGTGTAATTAGCGGCTCTGACCGGGTGCTCAGAAGGTGTGGTTAGATTGATGAGATCGAGCGTCTCTCAGGTGCCTGTGGGGAAGGAGGCTCTCGTCTGACAGAGAAAAGCCCCGCAAATGGATGAGCTGGGAACGCCGTGACCCCGTTCTGCTCCGAAACCTGTCACCTGTGTTTCCTAACCGCGTACGTGAACTCCGATTCGCCTGGAATGAGTTTTAAGCATTTTTGCTGTTTGTTCTGCAGTAATTCCCAGCTTCTGGGAGCTCAGAAGAGCTGTTTCTTCTGGTCACGGCCGATTGGTTTGTTTGTCTGATCGGGCTGCTGTCCTTATCTGGCCGATCCCAGCTAATGATCGTTCCCTCTGGAGCATTCGGGATTAAACTTCATGACGGGTGGAGGATCTTGGATATTTCCTCCTCTCTTGGCCGTAAACTGGAAGGCTGATGTCCTCTGTAGATATGAGATTAAAGTTTGCCGTTATCACAGATTAGAGTGGATCAACTAAACCAGATTATGGATTAGTTCAGAACATTCTCCAGAGCAGACCAGAGTGAATTCTTGTCATTTTGTATGCGATGGGTTTGTGCGATTTACTGATGACACTGATCATGTTTTTGTCATTTATAAACAAGCAGCTGTGAATCTGTCGCTTGAGGTTTGATGAGTGTGACGATGTATCTTTAATAACTCGTGTCACGCTGAGTGGCTTTTCAAAAAACTTACTGACCTGTAGAAATAATAAGTGAACCCTTGAAGTAGTTGCCCATTCATGACTGGATTTACTCGTATTTACCTGTTTTATCTTCCCATAATGCACTGCTGCAGCACTCTGTAGCTCGGTCTGTGTGATGGTGCTGATGCAGTTGCTCAGTCTCTGTTTATGTCTGTATTTTTCAGTCTCTTCATTGATTTTCATCTGTTGTCTTTGTCTCGATGCTGTTGTCTCATCCATACACACCTTTAACCCTCCACATCAGCGTGACCAGAGAGAGAATGAAGCTTCAGAAACACATGATGAGTCACATGAAGAAGAGCAGAGAGACCATGTGACTACAGCAAAGCGTTTCACCCCACATTCATGCACCTGCAGTCACACTGGAGCGTTAGTGAAGCCTTGAGGACTTTCTGGAATGAATAGATGAATTAGATTTAACAAACAACACAAAAACATTGTGTGTTTTCACATATTCATCAACCAAAGACATTGAGGAGTCAAAATCTCAACACAGATCAAATACAGACAGTTCTTAAAGATTCACCAGCGTTTAGCTGGAGCCACAGTGGAGTAGTTTAGATTGAACTTTTGATTGGTGTGTGTGTGTGTGTGTGTGTGTGCGTGTGCGTGTGTGTGTTCAGATACTTCATATTGAAATGAAAGTCATTGAAATATTTTTCTAACATTTATAGTAATTTATATATATATATATAATTTAAAAATTGAAATACAAATTTAACATATACATTAATCATAATTGATAAATAATATATAAAAACATGTAAAATTAGTAAAAAATATTAATATATAAAAATGAAATAATTGAAAAAGAAAACTTAAAAATAAATATTTAAATTAATTAATAAATAAATGTAATTTTATAATAAATGCATACAAATCATGTCTATTATTACATTATACTACTGTCACAATACGTTCTTTCCTCATGATGCGCGTATTAGA